CGCGATGATGTGATCGGGGAGGTGGTGGTGCCCTTGCTCGGGGTGGATCCCAGCACTGGAAAGGTGCACATCACCAGGGATATTGTCAAGAGGAATGTGCAGGTCAGAGAATTTGGGGTTTTTTTTGGGTTTGCATGGTTTAAAAATTGGGGGTGAAAGAAATCGTCAGTTGTCAAAAATTGGTGAAATTTGGGCTCCTTGGTGATCAAAAATCAGTGAAAAACCAGTGAAAAATCAGCAAAACTTGGGCTCCGCAGTCACCAAAAATCCGTGAAATTTGGGCTCCTAAGTCACCACAAATCAGTGAAAAATCAGTGAAAAATCAGAAATTTGGTCTTCTTGGTCATCAAAAATGGGAGAAATTTGGGTTCATGAGTCACCAAAAATCAGTGAAATTTAGGTTCCTGAGCCACCAAAAATCGGTGATATTTGGGCTCCTCAGTCATCAAAAATCAGTGAAAAATCAGTGAAAAATGAGTGAAATTTGTGCTCCTCAACTCCTTTCTATTTCCAGGTCTGGTTTTATCTCTAGGACTGGTTTTGTTTCCAGCTCTGATTTCGGAACATCCTGGGGCTCATTTCCCCATTTTTTTTCTCATTTTTCCCCCATTTTTTTTTATTTTTTTCCCAATTTTTTCCATTTTTAACCCCAAAATGATTAAATTTTTATTTTTTTCCCCAGAAATGCCTGAGCAGGGGCGAGCTGCAGGTGTCCTTGTCCTGCCAGCCCGTGGCACAAAGGATGACTGTGCTGGGGGAACATCCTGGCGCTCATTTCCCCATTTTTTTCTCGTTTTTCCCCCAATTTTTTCCCAAAAATCACCCAATTTTAAATTTTTTTTAAATTTATTTTTAATTTTTCCCAGAAATGCCTGAGCAGGGGCGAGCTGCAGGTGTCCCTGTCCTACCAGCCCGTGGCACAGAGGATGACCGTGGTGGTGCTCAAAGCCCGGCACTTGCCCCGCATGGACATCAGCGGCCTCTCAGGTAGAAAGTATTTACCCCAAATTGAATTTTGGGGAAAAAAATCCTAAATTTTAAATTTATGGGGTTTTTTAAAATGGGTTTTGGATGGAGGGGTTTGGGGTTTGAGGGGATTTTATGGGGTTGTGGATTGGAGGGGTTGGGGGGGTTGTATGGGGTTAATGGGGTCTATTTATAAAATAGATAAAAATATCTATAAAATAGATTAAAATATCCATAAAATATATAAAAATATCTATAAAATGTATAAATTTATAAAATATATTTAAAGAATTATAAAATCCATAAAAATAAAGACAAAATTCCCCTCCTTTTTTCCGTCTCAGACCCGTACGTGAAGGTGAACGTGTACTACGACCGCAAGCGCATTATAAAATCCATTATAAAAATACCTATAAAATGCATCAAAAACCTATAAAATAAACAAAAATACCTATAAAATACATAAAAATTCTATAAAATATATTCAAAATATGTACAAAATCCATAAAAATAAAGACAAAATCCCCTCTTTTTCCCCCACAGACCCGTACGTGAAGGTGAACGTGTACTACAGCCGCAAGCGCATTATAACATCTACTATAAAAATACCTATAAAATACATAAAAATATATATAAAAATACCTATAAAATAAAAAAAAAAATCTAAAATCCATAAAAATAATGACAAAATTCCCATTTTCCCCCCAGACCCGTACGTGAACGTGAACGTGTACTACGGCCGCAAGCGCCTTATAAAATCTACCATAAAAATACCATAAAACATACAAAAATACCTGTAAAATATATAATAATAAGTATAAAATATACAAAAAATTCTTAAAATAATGATATAAGTTTTCTTTTTTCCCCGCAGACCCGTATGTGAAGGTGAACATTTACTACGGCCGCAAGCGCATCGCCAAGAAGAAGACCCACGTCAAGAAGTGCACTCTGAACCCGGTGTTTAACGAATCCTTCACCTACGAGATCCCGGTGGATTTGCTGTCCCAGCTGAGCGTGGAGTTCCTGGTGATCGCCTTCGACCGCAGCACCAAGAACCAGGCGCTGGGGCGGCTGCTGCTGGGGCCGCAGGGCCGCGGGGCCGAGCTCTGGGGGCGCCTGGCACAGGGGGGCAAAACCGGGCCCGAGTGGTACGGCCTCAGTGAGTACTGAGAGATCTGCACCGTTCCCCTTCCAGGACCTAAGGTTGTTAGCAATTGGTAATTTTCCCCACTGAAAAAAAAGTTTTTGCTATTTTTTTTCTTTTTTTTTGGGTTTTTTTTGTTGTTGTTTTTTTCTTGCTGGGTATCGAATAATTCAGAGCGTTAAAACAAAAAAAAACACCCCCACCATTGGGTTTTTGTTGGGTTTTCTTTTGTTGATTTTGGTTTTGCTTTTATTTTTGTTCTGTTCTTTCAAATTATTCAATAATTCCGAGCATTAAAAGAAAAACAAACTCCCCCACCGTTGTTTTTTCAGTACGGCCTCAGCGAGTACTGAGAGAATCTGCACCATTCCCCTTCCAGGACCTAAGGTCGTTAGCATTGGAAATTTTCCCCACTGAAAAGCAGTTTTTGTTACTTTTTTGGGTTTTTTTGGGGGGGGTTTTGGTTTTTTTTTGGTTTTTTTTGGTTGTTTTTTTCTTGTAGGGCATTGAAAAATTCGGATCATTAAAAAGAAAAACACCCCCACCGTTGGGTTTTTGGTTCTCTTTTGTTGTTTTTTTGGTATTTGGGGTTTTTTTTTGGTTTTTTTTGGTTGTTTTCTTCTTGCAGGGTATTGAAAAATTTGGAGTGTACAAAAAAACTAAAACCCCACCATTGAGGAACAAATAATTAAATGAGAAAAAAAAGAAAAATTGAGGAGAATTTGGAAGGAACGTTAAAAAAATTCCCCACCATTGTTTTTTGGGTACAGCCTTAGCAAGTACTGAGAGATTCTGCACCGTTTCCCTTCCAGGACCTTTTAAAAATGGCAAAAACAGTGGGGGAAGAAAGAAAAAATGAGGACAAAAAATTAATTTTGAAGAATTCACTTTAAAAAATGGAAAGAATGGTGGGGGAAAGAATCAACAAAATGAGAAAAAAATGAAAATTTTGAAGAATTTTTGTTGAAAAAAATGCAAAAACAGTGGGGAAAAAAATCAACAAATGGCAAAAAATTAACTTCGAATTAAAAACACAAAAAAGTGGGGAAAAAAGAAATAAAAAAAATCAAAACCCCACAAAAAATGGCAAGGGAAGTGCGGGCGGACGTTGGTGCCGCCGTTGCATGCAGAACACACGGAATTTTCCAGAATTTTCCGGAATTTTCCGGAATTTTCCAGAATTTTCCGGAATTTCACCGCCCATTCCGGCTCCGTCGGATCCGTTCCGTGTTTTCGTTCTTTGTTCGTTTTCGCTGCTCCTCCCCCGCACCCCCCCAGGACTTTTTGGGATTTTCCCCCAAAATTTTTGGGTTCTGCTGCTTCCGATTTATGGGGTTTGGGGGATTTGGTGGGATTTGGGGGTTTTTGGTGGGGTTTTGGGGGGTTTTTGGTGGTTTTTTTGGTGGATTTTTGTGGGTTTTTGGTGGGGTTTTGGTGGTTTTTGGTGGGTCTTTGGCGGGTTTTTTGTGGGATTTTGGGTTTTTTTTGTGGGTTTTGGTGGGTTTTTGATGGTTTTTTTGTAGTTTTTTCTGTTTTATGGGATTTTTTTGGATTTTTGTGGGGTTTTTTGGTTGTTTTTGGTGGGTTCTTGGTGATTTTTGGTGGGTTTTTGGTTGTTTTTGATGGGGTTTCAGTTGTTTTTGGTGGTTTTTTTGTTGGGTTTTTTTGATGGGTTTTGGTGGTTTTTGGTGGGGTTTTGGGGGTTTTTTTTTGG